AAGGGGATTGGGAATTCCCGGGAAAAGGGGATTGGGAATTCCCTGGGAAAAGGTTGGGAATTTTCTGGGAAAAGGGGATTGGGAATTCCCGGGAAAAGGGTTGGGAATTCCCGGGAAAAGGTTGGGAATTCCCGGGACTGGGGACCTGTAGAGGATGACGTTGATGAAGCAGCTGTCGCGGCGGAAGCAGGGGCTGAGCAGGATCTCATCCCGCCGGGAAAAGCGGATCTCCACCGGGAAGTGCGCCGCGATCCCGGGATTCCCGTCCAGCGCCGCCTGCAGCTCCAGCAGCGCCTCCTTGGTCCGGCCGCTGATCCCGGGAAAAATCCAGACCCCGTTATTCCCGGGAAAAATCCTGACCCCGTTATTCCCGGGAAAAATCCATCCCTGGTTATTCCCAGGAAAAATCCATCCCTGGTTCTTCCCGGGAAAAATCCATCCCTGGTTATTCCCGGGAAAAATCCAGTCCTGGTTATTCCAGGGAAAATCCATCCTGTTATTCCAGGAAAAATTTAGTTCCGGTTATTCCCGGGATAATCCTGACCCCGTTATTCCCGGGAAAAATCCTGACCCCGTTATTCCCGGGAAAAATCCTGACCCCGTTATTCCCGGGAAAAATCCAGACTGTTATTCCAGGGAAAATCCATCCCGTTATTCCAGGAAAAATTTAGTGCCGGTTATTCCCGGGAAAATCCTGTCCCCGTTATTCCCAGGAAAAATCCATCCCTGGTTATTCCCGGGAAAAATCCAGTCCTGGTTATTCCAGGGAAAATCCTGACCCCATTTTTCCCAGGAAAAATCCAGTCCCCGTTATTCCTGGGAAAATCCAGTCCTGGTTATTCCAGGGAAAATCCATCCCGTTATTCCAGGAAAAATCCTGTCCCCGTTATTCCCGGGAAAATCCATCCCTGCTTATTCCCAAGAAAATCCAGCCCCGGTTATTCCCGGGAAAAATCCTGACCCCGTTGTTCCTGGGAAAATCCATCCCGTTATTCCCGGAAAAATTTAGTCCCGGTTATTCCCAGAAAAATCCAGACCCCATTATTCCCGGGAAAAATCCAGTCCCGGTTATTCCCAAGAAAATCCAGCCCCGGTTATTCCCGGAGAAATCCATCCCTGGTTATTCCAGGAAAATCCAGCCCCGGTTATTCCCGGGAAAATGGGGGGAGGGGGGAAGAGACAACCCCGAAAGGATTCCCGGGATTTTTGTGTTGGATGGGGAATGTCCTGGGATTTGGGATCCTGGGATTTGGGATCCTGGGATTTGGGATCCCAGGAATGGGAATTCGGGATTCGGGAATTCCTACACGGGAATGGCCCAGCCCTGAGCCAGGATTTGGGAATTCCATGGGATTTGGGAATTCGGGATTTGGGAATTCCTACATGGGAATGGCCCAGCCCTGGACTGGGATTTGGGAATTCCATGGGATTTGGGAATTTGGGAATTGGGAATTCCATGGGAATGGGAATTCAGGATTTGGGAATTCCATGGGATTTGAGAATTCGGGATTTGGGAATTCCATGGGATTTGGGATCTGGGAATTCCTACATGGGAATGGCCCAGCCCTGGACTGGGATTTGGGAATTCCATGGGATTTGGGAATTTGGGAATTCGGGAATTCCATGGGATTTGGGAATTCGGGATTTGGGAATTCCATGGGAATGGGAATTCGGGATTTGGGAATTCCATGGGATTTGGGAATTTGGGATTTGGGAATTCCTACATGGGAATGGGAATTCAGGATCTGGGAATTTGGGATTCGGGATTCCCTACATGGGGATGGCCCAGCCCTGGACTGGGATCAGGGAATTCCATGGGATTTGGGAATTCGGGAACGCCTACATGGGGATGGGAATTCAGGATCAGGGAATTCCATGGGATTTGGGAATTCGGGAATGCCTACATGGGGATGGGAATTCAGGATCAGGGAATTCCATGGGATTTGGGAATTCGGGAATGCCTACATGGGGATGGCCCAGTCCTGGACGTGCTGCCGGAAGCGGCACTCGTAGGTGAGGATCCGGTGGCTGCGGTCGACGTTTTCCACCCGGGAATTGAAGAGGAGCCGGAAGAAGACGCGGTTGATCCAAACCACCAGGCCGGGAAAGAAGGAGCTGCCGGGAAAAAAACCGGGAATGGGGCCGGGAATTCCCGGGAATCCCGGGAATCCGGGGATGGGCGCTGGGAAAGGAGCTCCCATCCCATTCCGGACGGATCCGGGTTTTCCTTGGATGCTCGCGGGGATTCGCTGGGAATTCCGGCCCCTCCCAGCCAGGAATTCCAGCCCAAATCCCAAATTTCTCCCACTTTTCCCAGGGAATTCCGGCCCAAATCCCAAATTTCTCCCACTTTTCCCAGGGAATTCCGGCCCAAATCCCAAATTTTTCCCATTTTTCCCAAGGAATTCCAGTCCAAATCCCGAATTCCTGCCCCGTTTTTCCCAGGGAATTCCCTCCATTCCCAGCCTGGGGTTGGATCCAGCCCCATCCCAAGGGAAGGGATTTTGGGAATTCCCTGGGAATTGGGGACTGCGGGAAGGGTCTCCCTATCCCAGAATTCCATAAAAATCCCTCGGGATGGATCCTGAGCGCCCTGGATCCCGGAATCCCGGAATGGCTTCAGTAATTCCCGAAAAATTCCCAATTAATTCCCGAAAAATTCCCAAATAATTCCCGAGTAATTCCAGGTTCATTCCGGATCCAATCCCAGGCTGGGAATGGAGGGAATTCCCTGGGAAAACGGGAATTTGGGATTTGGGAAGGAATTCCTGGGGTATCCCAAAAAAAAAAACCCCAAATCCCAGAAAATCCCTGGGTTTCCTTTCCCAGAATTCCATAAAAATCCCAAAGTTGGACGCCAGAGGGCCCCAACCACGAATCCCAAACGCTTCCGTAGGAAAAGA